CACCCCCGTCCTTGTCCTCTCCTGCACCCCCGTCTCTGTCCCCATTCCCTTCCCCGTCCCCTCTCCTGTCCTCATACCCGTTCCCACCTGCACCCCCCTCCCTGTCCTCACCCCAGTCCCCATCCCTGTTCCCTTCTGCATCCTCCGTCTCTGTGCTGAGCCCCTTCTGGAGGTCCACCCCTCTCCTTGTCCATTCCTGTCCCGTTTCTTCCCCACCAGCATCCCCATCCCCTCTCCTGTCCCCACAAGGATGACAAAACATGTTGCAAGAGGAGTCCTTCCCGGTTTAGGGTGAGCGAGGGATTCTGCTGAGTAAGAAAGGCTCGGCAGAAGGTCCTGCCCTTTCTCTCCAAGAGCATATACAGGCCAAAGGAGATGCTTTGCCATTAGCTCTCATGCCTTGTTTATCTTCTCCAAGTTTAGCAGCAAAGCCCCGTCCCTCCTTCCTTTCAAGCCCCTTTCAAATTCATCCCATCCCCTTCGAGCTCCCGGCTCGTGTGGCAGTGGGGTGACACCAGAATGCGGGACAAATCCCCCCCTTCCCACATCCCCGCACACGGAGCCCGGGGAACGGTGGGGACAGTCCAAGGGACGCGGGGACCTCCAGCTCCGCTCCTGGTGTGTGTGGGGCTTTACCCAACCATCCCGGACGAGCTCCGAGGCTGGCGCTGCTGTCCGAGACCCATCCCCATCCCCTTCAGGCCTGTTGTCTCCCGCCCTCCGTGGGGCAGAGGGCTTTGCCGAACCCCGGGAGAGCCGTGGGTGCCGGTGGGGGTTCCCATCGAGTGCCCCTGCAGGTGTCATGTCCCCCCTGCCCCAATTTTGAAGCCCCACAACCCCCGAGGGGGACCCCAGTTTGGCCTCAAAAAGACACAGTGGGAGCTGTGCGGGTTGGCAACGGTGCCGGAAAATGCCTTCAATACCCAAAACTGAGCGCCGTGTTGTGCCCCAGCCTTTGCGTCCCCCTTTTTTGGGTGAAAACCATCAAATTTGCTTCCCCCTCGCCTCTTCCCGCCCTGTGAAATGACAGGAGCCACTCGCTCCTGGGCCGGGAGCCGTGCAGGACGGCCGCTGCTCATCTGGGAAGGGGCTCAGGAAGGAAGTGGTCTTTGGAACGACTGTCGGGGACCCCCCAGCGCCGCAGGGAGAGAGCATGGTGGGTGACACTTAGCCCCAGATCCGCCCCCACCCCCGCCCCGACCCCGTCCCAGCTGCCGCTGGTGGCCTCTGCCGCGGGATGGCAGA